CACTCCATTTCCTTGTGTCTTTTCACAAGCTGCCCCTCCTGCCTGAAAGCTACTCCTTCTTTACCTCCACTGAATCCCTAGCTTCCTTTAGCTGACTTCCTCTCTTATGGGAAGTATTTTCTGATTCTCTTGGTTGTTAATAGGGTCTCTCATCAAGTCATTTTCTATGTGTTCATTTGTTTATTCTTTTTATCTCAACAGAAGAATGATTCTTGAGAGCAGGGACTTTTTTTTTTTGGTCTAGGGCTTTGCACATAGTCGGAGCTTAATGAATGCTTGTTGCATTGGATTGGAGGATTCTCTGTTTCTTCCAGAACCTTTCTAGTGATATCTTTGGATATGAGATTTCAGGTAGTATCCACTAGCACACTCAACTTGTGTATTTTCAGCTTTTGGAAGGCTCCTCTCTTCCCTCCTCGTCCTCCCTTCCCTTTCCCCATGCACTTACTCTGTCCTCCAGACATTCTTTCCTCCCACTGGCTCATTCTGCTTTGCAAAATTCCACAGACACTCACACACCTAGGGATCATAGGATCATTTACTCCAACCCCCTAATTTTACAGATTTGGAAACTGAGGCCCAGAGAAAAGAAGGCCAAGCTCACACATGTAGTAAGTAGCAGAGTGGGGTTTGAGACCAGCTTTTCTTTTTAACTGTAGACAGATCTAGTGCCTACCACACCCCACTTCTCTAATAAGCAAGTCTGGATTTTTCCTAGATAATGTGGGTACCTGTGAGTCCTCGAAGCCTCCCATCATACCTGTTAGCCTTTTGCCATTATTCTCAAACTCTAATACAGGGGTGGGGAACCTTCGACCTTGAGGCCACATGTGGCCCTTTAGGTCCTCAAGTGTGGCCCTTTGACAGAATCTAAACTTTAAAGGCCACATTTGAGGACCTAGAGGGCCACATGTAGTCTCAAGACTGTAGGTTCTCCCTTCTGCTCTAATACCTTCACAGGGAGTCAGTGTCAGTGGTGTGTAATGGAAACATTCAGTGTGGGGAATTTGGAGTCAGAGGACTTGAGTTTGAAACCCAGATCTGCTCTTTATTATCTATGTGCCCTTGGACAAGTCACTGCCATTCTCTTAGACTCCATTTCCTAATTTTTTTAATGAAAATGTGGGACTAGATAATTCCTAAAGGCCCTTTCGCTTCTAAATTTTATTAAACAATAAAATGAGACTAGCCAGATAAATTAGTGGAAATAGTTAAAGGACAAGTAGAGTTGTTTGTGTTTGAAAAAAAAACATATGTCAATCATGTATAGTGGATATGGTATTTCTTGCCTTCTCAATGGGAGGGGGAGAAGTGGAGGGAGGGAGAGAATTTGTAACTAGATAGATAGACAAACAGACAGACAGACAGACATAGATAGATGGTTGGTTGCTGTCCTTCATTCTTGAAGAGGACCAAAATGACATCACTATGCTAATGTCAAGTTACAGTGTGTCTGACTGTTGCTGATCAAACCGATATGAGCTCAGAAAGCTCTACCACAGGTTGGGCACAAACAGCCCACGTATACATTTGGGGTAGATTCTCTAATTTTGTCCATCCCATTGGATGGATGGATGGATGGATGAATAAAATACTTAATAGGACTTTAGGTCCTTGAGCAGGGGAGGGACATGAATAAAAATTGTTTGACGAAGATTATCCTAGCAGTTGTGTTTTAGATGGAGAAAATTACAAGCCAGTTCAGTGTACTATAAAGAATATGGGTTTTGGAACTGGGTAATATAGGTTTGAATCACGTAACTGTTTATGTAACTTTGGTAAGTTACTATTAACTCTCTGGACCTCAGTTTCCTCATCTATAAGACAAGTGAATTGGACTAGATAATCTCTAAGGTTCCTTCCAGCTTGAAATCCTCTGATCTTATATTATGGAGGTAGGACAACCAACCAGACAGCTGAGGCACAACCAACAGTACAAAATGTTTGTTGGACTAAATTGAATTGAATGAGGGGTAGCAGTTGAGGGGATGAACAGCAAGAACTCTAAAAGACATCACAAAGAAATGAGAGCAAAGGAGGAGAGGCAACGGATCCCAAATTGAAGGAGTGAAAACTGGGAAAGAGTGACTCAAGGGAAAGACATTTTCTAGGATTAAATTTCAGATGTCATCTGAAATTGTAAGTAAATCTCCATGTAAGGGGAGATCTCCTAGAGATAACTGGAAATAAAGGGCTCAAAAGAAAACAAGGTCAGTACTACCTATGTATGTTTGAGAGTCATCTGCATAGAGATGGTTGAAAACGCAAAGGGATGGACTCCCTTAAGGAAGGATGTAGAGTGAGAAGAGCAGAGGATTTAGGAGTGAACCTTAGAGTCCCTTGACATTTATTCCACAAGGAAAAAATTAGCCCAGAAAAGAAACAGGGAGAGAATCGTCAGAGAGATAACAACAGATTGAAGATTACATAGTGTCATGGAAGGCAGCAATGGAAAAAAGAGGGTTAAGTCAACAGTGTCAGATGAAGCTGAGATATACGGAAGGATGAGTACAAAGAAGGGACCACTCGTTTTAACCAAAGAGAAACCAGGGACAAAACAAAAGAAACTGGTTTTAGTACAGTGGCCTATGGTGCAGGTATCAAAGTCTGCTATTTAATTGAAGTAGAAGGTAATGATACTGATAATAATTTTGTCCACCTGGGCAAGTCTATAGAACTTTGAATATAAAGGAATAATAAGTAGGATAGTGACTTTTCCCAGGATCCTTTCTACCTGAACCCCATCAAAAAAAATGAAAACAAAATAACAATAATGATAAATATGAATGACATCTATATAGCACTTTAGATTCCTGTTAGTTTCCTACAAATTCACACTTCCTATCATGACTGTTTGGGTGAAAACAGTGACTTCCACTCAGCTATCTCATAGCTTTAGTCCACCGTATTCTAAAAATATATAGGCCAAAAAGAAAACTCTAAAAGATATGAAGAAAAAAATTGAAACTACCACAAAACTTGACTCAAACTATTACTTTACATCTATGTAGCTACATTAGTAGTTTTCTGGATCTCAAGAAATGGAAACATGGTCATATCCACCTCAGATCTTACTACAGGCTTTGTTAATGACATAGAATCCATTCGTGGTGCACATGGTGAGTATGTCCTGTAGGCATGCTATGCTTTCCCTTCATTGCTGCTGTTGGGTTCCAGGGTTCCAGTCTTGTTCTTGTTAGGAGAAACCCAAGAAATTGGCTCTGTCCAGAACTATAAACACATTCAATGGCCTGAGGGGGTTAGGGTCTCTGGGGGCTTTTATACTAAGGCAGACAAAAGTTAGCTTGAGCTTTTTACAAAGGCACTAATCTTGGATAAGCAGACCCTGGGCACTCTTAAATACACAAATAATAAAATAGGTCGGATTAGAATAAACTCTGTTGTTGACAGAATTCCTTTGGTGACAAGGACTACACTCATGGATTCATTAGTCATTTTAGCTGTTTCTGTCCATCTGTCTTCTTTCCTTAGGAGAAGGCATCCAGTCTGGCTAGACTGCATCAGTTACTATTCTAATCTGTACTGGGAGAACATGGCACCAATTATGATATCTAGGGGACTGATGCAGAACAAGTTATAGAGCATTATGTTTGAGACGGGCATCAAAACTGGATGGGAGAGCAAAGGAACAATTAAGTATGGTTCCAGAGCTCAAAACTAGGTAGGCAAACAAGGGTGCACCAAAGTAAGGCTTGGGATAAAAGCTACATCTCTCCCCTCATCCCCCATAATGGGTGTGGGGACCAATAACTATGCACCCGGCCCTGCTGTGGCTGAAATTGTCCTTCCTTCAACATCTGGGGAAGTTGGAGCCAGGTACATCCACTTCCCCTAGCCCTGCCACGGGCCCAGAATACAGACCCTCCCTCCAAAACTGAGACCAAAGCATCCACAGGGGCATGGTGGTGGAACAGGATGTGTAGTCTCCAGGGCAGTTTATTCTAATTACCTGTGAAAGGGGCGGGGCTCAGTGGGGAGGAAGTAGCATGTTGTTGCCCCACCGCCAGATGTTAGGTTCAAATGTGGAGCCGCGTCTGTGCTGGCCCAGGAGAAGGTCAGGACTCCTCCAGCGCTGAAAGGAAGTTCAGAGCCTTGGGGTGGCAATCAAGGACAACTGTCCTCAGTAGCTTACTTTCTCCCTTTTCAGAACAGTGGCAGCTTGGTACCATTCAATTAGCTTTGAAAGCTCCTCTGACATAACCTCTCTCCCGACCTACCCCACCAGATCCTTCAGCTCCTCCTCTGATGGTGCTTTTTGTGCCTCTGGCCCCAGGTACAAAAATTCCTAGTTAAGGCAGGATTATAACTATGCAGGAAGCATTTCGTGACGTCCTGCTGGAGTAACAATGGAATGCATCGAAGCGGAAAGCACACAGGGTTGGGAGTCAAAAGGCCCAAGTCAGCTCCATGCTACCTATATGACCCCATACAAGTCAGGTTACCTCTCTAGGAATCTGTTTCCTCATCTACAAAATGAGGGACTTGGCCTAGATGATGTTCCAAGTCCTTTAAATCCTACAATACCTATATTTCAGGTTGCTCAATGCCCATAGGCAATACCACCCTAGCCCTCATGCCAGCCCTCCTTTGAAAAAGAACAGTGTAAGAGGAGAAAGGAGTGGTATCAATCAGCATTCAGGAAAGATAACTGGATCAAAAGGTCAAGTCAATTTAGATTGCCACCTGTGATCATTTGTTTTTCAGCTGTTTGTGCACAATATTAATGCCTAAAGACTGGAGTCTAAAGGTTCTGGCCTCCCAATAAGCAGCAATACATCCACGTATCAAGAACAGGAAAAGATGAATGTTTTTCCTAGAAAGGTGCCTGCTTGCTTCGGCCCCGCCCTAATTCATTACTGCATTCATAATAAATGTCACTTGTGCTTTACAAAGAAACAACCAAAATACCATACGCCCATAAATATAGCACTTTAATACCCTTTAATGAAATACAACAATGATTATTTCTTTCTCCCCAGTCTTTCCTCACATGGTGAAACAGCTGAACACTGGCCTTCATGTCATGATTTTAATCTTCCTTTTTGTGGCCATGGCCTTGGCTCTAGTCAGTATGGGGTTTGCAATCCTCAATATGACCAAGGTCCCGTATCGTGCAGTAAATGGCCCTGCTGGTATATGTCTGTGGAACGTACTTGCAGGTAAGGCATATTCTTAAGTTGCTTCAGGTCTATCGTCAAACTGTGCTGGAAATACAGTTAAATTGATTGTAAGAAGGTAATGCCTTGCTATTTCTTCATTTCTCTCTAATTTTATTTTTTTCAAATTCTGCCTTCTTTCTCTCCTTCCCTTCCTTTTCCCCATCTTCTTCCAACCTCCCCCCTTTTCTGGATTGAGAAGCAAGAAAAATAAAATACCTGTTTCAAATATGTATAGTTAAGCAAAACAAATTCCTGCAATGACCATGAAATACACAAATATAAATATATGTGTGATAAATATATCATATGTAGTATTTACACACATATTTATATAAACATCATGTTCATATGTCATATATACACATGTGTGTTTATCTCAATCTACACTCTGAGTCCAGCATTTCTCTATCAGGAGGTGGACAGCAAGTTTTATCACAAATCCGCTAGAATCACAGTTGATCATTGCACTGTGTTCCTAAGTCTTTCAAAGTTGTTTGTCTTTACAATATTATGGTAACTGTATAAATTGTTTTACCATTTAAGATCAGTTTCTGATTTTCTGTAGGTTTATCCATTGAAATCTATTTTTCATGGTTGTAAGTTACTCAGGCTATTATAATAATCTATTTTTGTGTACTCAAAAATATATACATGGTTATTTGGGTTCATGAGTGATTCAGGACATGAGACAGAGGGATGGGGAGGAAGAGAAGCCAAGAGAAAATGATGCTGAAAGAGCTGGGACTAAGGAGAAGAGAGGAAATGGGGAGAGGAGGAGGGGAGGGAGGCATCAGGCTGGAAGCATGATGAAGGATTTGTGGATGGAGCTCGGTAGCTGAAGGCTCAATAGCAACATCTAACAAAGATGATAAGAGAAAGCAGGTGGCTTCCCTACCAGAGTGTAAGCTCCTTGTAGGGACTGTTTCATTTTTTTGTGCTTGTATCCCCAGTGCCTACCACAATTGATTAATTAATTGATTGTGGTAAGAGTGCTGACCACCAAAAGTCAAGTCCGTTTAGGAATGGGGAAAAAATTGTTACCATTGAACTTGAAAATCTTGGAAGCTTTCCAGTAAGCATACCACAAGACTGTTTCTACAGAATAGGGCATATCCCTGACCTCCCCCGAGCTGATTCTTTTCATCAACCCAACCTAAACCATTTTTGATCAGTTCACAGTAACTAGCCTAACTTCATCCCCCTACTCCAAGGACTGCCAATGGTGGGGTCGGGAGGGGGTGCAGTCCAAAATCAGATGGGTACCTGAAGTCGGTGGTGAGAAGCAGAACGGGCAGAGGCTGCAGGACAGAGTAGAAAGAGAATGGGATTTGGCATTAGAGGCCAGTGGTTTGCACCCCAGCCTCTGTCCCTCTCTAATCCTTATTTTTTCTTATCTGTAGGATGAGGGAGTAGGACCTCTAAGGTCCGTTCCTGCTCTCCATCCTGCGATAGGATCCCAAGGTCAAAACTATAACTCTGAGGTAGCCAGAGGAAGGGAGGTATATGGTATCTCTCTTCTTTCCTTTCTCTTTGTACTTGTTTGCTACTCTTATCTCCTCTCCTTACCCTTTATCTATGGAAAAAGCTAATCAGGGCTAAATAAGGAGGTGATAAGCCCTGTGCCAAATAAATAAGTGGAAATGCAGGCTGAAAAGACATCCAGAGACAGCTAGAAGGAGTCACCATATAGTTGGAAATTCTCTTTGAACCCAGTCTCTCTTCCATGAGGCCCATGGGAACATCCTCAGGTGTTTAAAGATTTGTAGTTTCTTTATTCAGTTAAGTTTTTAATATGAGTGTTCCCATAGTACAGTACTGTACTCTTCCAGCTCTAAGTCTACAAACCCTATGAATAGGCATAAAGAATTAAAAGTTCCCTCTGGTAGCATGTAAGGGGGAAGGGAAGTTCTATCTCATTTATTCTTATAAGTCACTAAATATAAATCATCAACAAAATATAGCAAAATTTGGTCTTACACTTATTTGTACACTTGTGTCCCCATCAGATTCTAAATTCCTAGAACTCCGGGCCTGCATCTAACTTTATCCTATGATTTATGTTCTGTGGTGAGCAAGTTGTGTCTGATTCCATTCTTCCAGCTATTTGTTACTTGTATCTCCTCCAGCACAGCGCCGTGCTCTTAAAAGATGCTTGAGAATTATTTACTAAATTGAATTGGATCCCATGAATTTGGGATTGGGGATACATCAGAAGAGACTAGGCTGAAATTCCAACTAATGATGTAATTAAAAATGCAGGAAGGTTACTCTATTGACAAGAATGAGCCATTTCCAAATACTTTACAAGCAACCATTTCAAACAACTAATGAATTACTTATAACAGATTCTTATCTGTCTTTTGGAGTAGATTCAATATAACTTCTACGTTAATAGTACTTCACTAGCCCAGCTAAAGGTATTTCAAAATAATAAGACTGCATTTCTTCAAAAAAAATTCCTAATTCAGATTGGATTCACTCCTCCTTAGCCTGGATCAGAGTGGTTTTGCTGCATGACTCCCACATAGATTGAAAATGAACAGTGTTTAATATGGGGCTTTCAAAGGTTTGATTCAGGCTATATAAAATTTGGTTCAATCCTTATCAAGATGCTACAATTTAAACAAGGTATTATGAAGTCTTTAATTGCCAACATGAATTTTGAATCTCTCTTTGGTTGTAGGTAGTGTCGTTGCTTTGGCCATTGGGAGCTTCATGGCGGCTGTGAAATTCCATGACCTCACAGACAGAATTGCCAATTTTCAGGAAAAGATATTTCAGTTTGTCGTCTTGGAGGAACAGTACGAAGAGTCTTTCTGGATCTGTGTGGCAAGTGCTACTGCTCATGCGGCAAATTTGCTGGTGGTAGCCATCAGTCAGATTCCCCTTCCTGAGATAAAGACCAAAATAGAAGAAGCAACTGTGACGGCAGAGGATATCTTGTATTAATTGCCTCCCCTCACAGTACCCTCTTCCTAAAAAGTGTTCTGTGAAATTAAGTAAGGCATAATTTTGGAGGTTCTCATGCTTCTGATCTGCATGCAGACCTTTCATCATTAATGCTTTGGCCACTAATTAATTCGCAGTGATTTTATAGATTCTATAAAAGTCAATGGAAACTGTCAGGAATTATAACCAGGGACTGTAAATTGTATGCTGCATGAACCTCATTGCCTGAAAAAGGAATTAATGATGTAATCAAAGATGTGCAATAATGGCATTTTCTCTAGAGACCGTCATCCTAGGAAATGTGTGGACATAGGAAAGTCAAGCTATCCTCAGACTGATTTTGCTATATTCTTTTAAGGGAAACAGAAAGGAACATGGTGGTGGGGATGCTAGCATTCCATTGGTTAACAAATGTCTATTGAATGAAATAGATTCATTCTTGTTGTGTAAATAGGCCTGTAAATTGAATTACTCACCATAGAAATCCTGGAGAGACTTGTTTGCAAAGTGAAGCATTTTCTCAGGATCTGTTGGGTAGGCACAGATGTTTATAGCAAAGTTTTCCTACATTGTCCACACCTATATTAATCAACCCAGATGTGAAGAAGCATTTTCCACTTTTGACTTCATGCCAAGTAAAATATAACACTGCTCTCCTCTCAACCACAAACAAGCACATAAATTCCATATTTTATTCAAGTCTAGCTCTGTGTTCAACAAGGCAGGAAACACCCCAGGAGGAAATTCACTGCCCAGAATGCAGACCAGCAATTCATCTGCAACTTATACCAAAGTCTTAGCAGCCTAAGAGCACTGAGCAGTCCATTAGTTTGCCCAAGGTCACACAACTAGCATGTGTCCAAGATAGGACTTGAACTCAGGTCTTCTTGATTCCAAGGTCACCTGTCTACAACACTACTCTACCCCTAGAAGCTCCATCTCACTTGAAAAATAGCAGTTTGAGCTTAATGCAATGCCTCAATATACCTGTGCAGGATTTCCTCTGCTCTGCTGAGTTGGAGTGAATGTCAGAGGAAAGAGCCCTGGATTCAGAGACAGGAGTTCTGAGTTCAAAAGCTAAACTCTGCCACTAATTGGCTACATGAGAGACCACTCTCATAATTTCTCTGAGCCTCAGTTTCTTTATCTGTAAAATGGGAATAAGAATTGCTGCCCGTCTCCTAGGTTTGTTGTGATGGTCAAATGAGATATTGTAAATAAAGGATCTTTGTGACTTTAAGGACAATCCAAACCAAGCTGTTGCTGTTTTTTTCCCCTCCCCACAGATGTCCCACAGAAAGCATAACTTTAGTGCTTGGAAGTAGCATATATTTCAGTGAACCTGTCTCCCTGGCTCAGAGATGACAATGATGAATCATGTTATATTTGTGGTTTGTCCAGCTCTTATGGCTTCACAAAATCAATTCTAAGCTGTCTGCTAATGTAAGGAACATTACCACAGATCATTCAGAACAATAACAAACTCTCAAAACACTTCTATTTTTTTTTTAACAGCAGATCAGCCTTTTCAACCCTGTTTTGCTTAGGCCAATGTAAAAATTAATTTGTGTTCCCAACATACAGAACATCCTCACGTTTATCTGGCACTTCAGTGCTTACAAAGACCTCCTCCTCACAACATCCCTGTGAGATAGTCTGTGCAAGTATTATTATACCCATTTTACAGATGAGGATACTAAAGCTCAGAGGGGCAAAATGACTTATCTGTGGCACTAAGGGACTTCTCTACCTAGATATTGTTGTGTCTTGGGGGCTGAGAAGATTGTGTGGGAGTGGTTAGGGTTGGCTAGTGTACTAGAAGTTGAAACATGACTTGGTTCCTTATGACCTGTATGCCCTTGGGCAGGTCTTTTGCTCATCTGCAAAAAGTGAGAGTTGTACTAGATGATCTCTAAGGTTCCTTCCAGTTCTAAATTTTAAAAAAAAGACCATCTCTGATATTGGGGAAAAAAATAATTGAAAGGTAAGGCATTCCAATATGTCCTCTACATATTCAGTGATGGTTCATAGGATAAAATGGAGCCACATGTAACCAGAGTAGGTGAAGAACGCTCAGATCCGCCATGTTTTCAAGGATCTAGAATATTTTGGCTCTCCTACGAACAAATCTTTGATGATCAAAGGATATTTAGAAACAGACAAATTAACGTCTTTAATATTTTATTATATTTACATAAAAGAATTTACACAAGAAGAAAACACTAATCATATTCCTATTTTCTGATTAATGTGGTCATGATAATGTTAATATTTATTTTAAGGTTATTAACATGCATATAAATTGTTATTGCCAATATTAATTGCACTGAGTTATACCAAAGCTAATGAGATTGAGTATATTAATTTTTAAAAATATAATGTTAGTGAAACAAATTCTTCATCTATGTTGTTAGTGAAAATAAGAGAGTATTTTAGTTCATGAAAATGTGTATAATAAAAGGAAGATTAATTACCAAAATCAATTTTTAAATGCACAGAAGAGAACAGAACAGAGCCCAGAAAGAGTCACAGACAAATAGGACAGCTTTGAAAGTTATATGTTGAATTTATTATATATTTAAAAGTTAATGTAAACTTATGAGCTTATCATTGGCATGTTGCTACTTGGTGTATGTAGTAGAGATCGGCAATTTCATATAAATATGTATGCATACATATATGTATATATAAAATCTTTTTCTGTTTTTTGAACATGGAAATGTTCATTTTGTTGTGTTTATCAAGTTCAGAATAACAACAACAACAAAAAGCAGTTCCTGCAAAGTACATCAAATATAAATATACCTGCTTTCTTCCCAGTTACAAGTTGTATTCTTTGAAAATTTGAGTAACATAGACATTGTAACAGGTACACAGACTACATGCAGTCACAGAATATAAAACGTCCATGGATCATATTATTACATACAAACCTGGATTCAAATTCTGGCTTTTCCATTTACTACCTGTGTGACCTCAGGCAAATCCCCTAACCTCTCTGGGCCTTAATCTCCACATCTGTAAAATAAAGGCGTTAGAAGTAGATTACTTCAGGGGCAGCTAGGTGGCGCAGTGGATAGAGCACCAGCACTGAAGTCAGGAGGACTTGAGTTCAAATCTGGCCTCAGACCAAACACTTGACACTAACTAGCTGTGTGACCCTGGGCAAGTCACTTAACCCCAATTGCCTACAAATTAAAAAAAAAATAAAAAGAAAGAAGATTATTTCAAAGGTCCTTTCTGTTTCTAGATCTATGATCTTCTGATCCTACAATAGAGCTACATACAGTTGGCCTTACCTAAATTCTAATTGCGAACTTTATATAGTACTTTAAGGTGTGCAAATAACTTTTTTTTTTGCTTAGCACAATGCCTAGCACATAGAAAGCACTAAATAAATGCTTGTTTACTGACTGAATGAACAACACTTTACAAATATCTCATTTGATCCTGATAACAACTCTAAAGTAAGTGCTATTATCATCCTCATCTTACAAATGAAGAAACTGAAGTTCAGGTGTGTGATTATGTGATTTGTCCATGGTCACTAATAAGTACCTAAGGCAGGATCTGAGCATGGATCTTTCTGACTCCAAATTCAGTTCTCTACCTACTACACCATGCTACCTTTATTTAGTTCCAAATAACAAAAAATTGTAGTTGCTGAAAATCACACCTAGTGCATATTCGATGTCTAGCCAGGTAATAAAGGCTTCCTTTCTATATAAGTGGACATCCACTCTATTCCATTCCCAACAATAATCACAATTGTCCATTATACTATTGCCAATTATACTATTTGACTGACAGTCTCTCACTCTGGACCAAACCCCAGCCTCTGTTGACTTTAGGTTGATGTCTGAAGGAGAGGGAGTCCCCATTTAGTATCCTAATATATTCTACAATCTGCTCTGCTTTCTCTATAAAGGAACTTTACCTTTATCAGCAAGCCTTGGTTAAAAACAGGTAGTTTAGTAACTGGTTGTCAAATATCTTCAAGGACTATGTCCAAAGGGCTATAAAAATGTGCATACCCTTTGACCCAGCAATAGCACTTCTAAGGTTATATCCCAAAAGAGATCATACAAATGGGAAAAGGACCTACATGTACACAATATTTATAGCAGCTCTTTTTGTGGTGGCAAAGAATTGGAAATTGAGGGGATGCCCATCAACTGGGGGAATGGCTGAACAAGTTATGGTAGATGAATGTAATGGAATACTATTGTTCCATAAGAAATGATGAGCAGGCAGATTTCAGAAAAACCTGGAAAGACTTCCATGAACTGATACTGAATAAAGTGAGCAGAACCAGGGGAACATTGCACACAGTAATGGCAACATTGTGCGATGACCAGCTTTGTTAGCCTTAACTCAGCAATATGAGGATCTAAGACAATTCCAAAAGATTCATGATGAAAAATGCTATCCACATCCAGAGAAATAACTATGGAGTCTGAATGCATATGGAAACATACTACTACTCTCTCTCTCTGTCTCTCTCTCCTTTCTCTCTCCTCTTTCTTTCTCTTTTTCTCTCTCCTCTGTCTCTGTCTCTGTCTCTCCTACTCTCTCTCCTTCTCTCTCTCCTCTTTCCTACTCTCTCTCCTTCTCTCTCTCCTCTCTCCTACTCTCTCCTTCTCTCTCTCTCTCTCTCTCTCTCTCTCTCTCTCTCTCTCTCTCTCTCTCTCTCTCATTTCTTCTTTCTTGTAGTTTTCCCTCTGGTTCTAATTCTTCTTTACAACATGACTAATGCGGAAATGTGGTTTTTTTTTATATTTTCAAGGTATCTTTTGGGGAACCTGAGAAGATTTCAAGGCTTCAGGAAGCTCATACAAGATATTTGTGACATTTTCCTCAAAGACCATGTTTCCATGACATGTATAATGAGGTTCTTGGATAGTCTCTACAATTCTATTCAATTCAAATTCTATGACTTTACTTACATTCTTACTCCTTGTTGTTCAGTCATGTCCAAGTTGATGACTCCACTTGGGGTTTTCTTGGCAAAGATACTGGAGTAGTTTGCCATTTTCTTCTCCAGCTCATTTTGCTGATGAAGAAACTGAGGCAAACAGGGTTAAGTAACTTGCTTAGGGTCACACAGCTAGTAAATGTCTGAGGCCAGATTTGAACTCAGGTCTTCCTGACTTCAGGCCCAGTACTCTATTCACTGCACTGCCTAGCTGTCCCATTCTTATTCCTACAACCTCATATTTTTTTCTAATAGAGAATAAAGATTTTACCTAAGTAACCTACTAACAGAATGGGAATGAGTTTCCTAGGCAACCTGATAACATAATATGGCATTGGCCATTAGAGGAAGGTAGCTGATGGGACCCAGGGGACTTCTGGTGGGTGATTATCAATCATGATCCTGGTGGCCTTTAAAAAGCAAGTTGGTCTCACTCCAAAATAGTTCTGAAGAAAAGAGTTAGCTGTGGAGGACCAGCTCTTCACCTTCCCCCTTGTGTCTCTCAGAGAACGTAGCAAAGGGAGGACAAACAGATTTCTCTTTCTTCTCCTCCTACCTCTTCAGTCATGGTGTCTCAGCAGAAACACCTTAGAAGTCATGTGCTTGCAGCCTGAGAGGGCAATTCAAAGACACCTTCTGTGTAGGGAAGAAGGGAATTCTGAATCCCCTAGATAGCATGATCCCAGAATCTAGTCTTCTGGTAGAAAAGGGAGATTTCCAGGACAGTACCAGCTTTTAAAATTATCTCATCGATAACTCCAAGGTAAAGAGTTTCTGAGTTCGAGAGTTCAAGGCATTGGGTATTAGATCTTCTAAAGAGAGAAATTATTTCCTGTTGCATTCTGCTCCATGGAAAAGGAAGAAGACAGCTTGAGTTTCCTAAGTAGCATCCTACTTGACAGGCAAAGCCACTGAGGACTTCAACTGAGCTAAAAAGTAAAGATAGTGGAGACTAGCCAATCAGTGAAAATAGATATAGATACAGATATAGATATTGTGTGTGTACATATGTATGTGTATATATATATATATATATATATATATATGTATATGTACACTCTATCCAGTAGAGCGGCATCTGGAAGAGACTACAAGATGAAGGTCAGTAAGGAACCATTGGAGGACCTCAGTGGTCATGCTGAATTAGACAAATGAGTTGTCCATCCTGGTGTGTACACTGGTCACATGTTTCTCAGGTGTGTACCTCTCTACGTATAGCCTTAAATGTGTCCATTCTCCTTTTTTATGACTGTACATATGAGATAGCATGCTGCACGTTTATGGGAAAAATGTTTTGTTGCTACTTTTCCTGCTATGCCATTTCAGTAATGCCCTTTGTTTTGAGCTAATTTTATCTTCTGGCTGACTAAAGAAAGCAACATGGTGGGGGCACTCATGAGCTATGGTTTTAGGAGTGTGGGGGGATGGCATCATAAAAGAGCTAAATAATATAGTCCTTAGGGTTATCAAGCCAAAAAAACCTGGCAGATTGTCTCCCTGTGAGGCCACATAATAGCTGAAGCCCAAAAGAGGGTAGCAGAAAGCATGGCATGGAGAACTTTATCTCAGTAGAGAAAATAGCTTGTTTGTGTCCAAAGTATAAGTTCCCCTGAACACACATGTGCCCTGGCTATATGTGGATCTTACACAAAGTGGAGCTAGTAAGAACCTTAGGACATAAAACATAGTATGTCAGTGCTAGGAAGGGCCTTAGGAAATGCAATATAGAATATCAGAGCTAGAAGAAATCTTTGAGATAAATTTGTCCAGAGGTTCTTATTCTAGGGTCCACAATCTCCATGGGGTAGATAAATTTCAGAAGGTCCATGAACTTGAATGTCTCTGTTTTCACTCCCTCTTGATTAAAATTTAGCATTTAAAATTTTAGCTAAAATTTAGCATTTCTTTCTATTATGATTTTTTAAAAGCATTATTCTGGGAAGAGGTACTTGAGCTTCACCAGACTTTCAAAGAGGTCAGTGGCACAAAAAAGGTTAAGACCCCCTGATGTAGTCCAATGTACTCACTTTACAGATGAGGAAACTGAACCTTTGGTCAGGTTCATATACCCCACAGAAGAAATAAAAAAGAAGGCAGCAATTGTCAGTTGTAAGACCTCTTATAAATCCAGATTGACTAATGATCATCAGACATTTACTAAAATCATAGAATATCAGAGCCAGAAGAGACTTCAAGGCAAAAAAATGTAGAATGTTTGAGTAAATGAGAACTTTAAAGATTGCTTAATTCAACCCTTTCACTTTACAGATAAGGAAAATGACCTTTGAGTTCTTTCTGAAACACTGATCAAACCTCATTTTTTTGCTCTCAGTTTGTAATTTAGTTCTCTTGCACGTATTCTTAGAAGCAAGGATTGTCTTTAACTGATGTGACATTAACCCCTCACAGAATACTGACTGATCACACAAACCAATAGAGCAAGGTCTGCTGCACAACCAGGCATTTCCAGGGCTAGGATTTCCGATGGTCCCACTAGTTCCTGCAGACACCCATCCAATCTGCCACCGAAAGACTCAAACTATTCACATTACTAGACGTGAACCTAACAAACTACGCTTTAAAAACAATCACCCTGTAACTAAATTCTCCTCTTGGTACAGCTGAATGAACTCACTATCATCTATAACCTATGAAGTCGATCACGTTGGCTAATATGACCCCTGGGGGATGAAATCCTCCTTTGGGCTCATCATTAGAACTGCCTGGATCCATTATTCTTCTCCACCTTTGTCCCTCACAAAGAAATACTGTGACAAAATGTCAAGCTAACAAACTTCACTGCAGCAGAGATAGTAAGCAACAACAGGTATTTAATTCGAGGGTTAACTCTGCTTTCATGTAGTCTTTTGTTGGAAGTGAACGATGGCTTCTGGGAATCAGTCTACTTGTTCATTCGGTAACCTGGAATTCTTTGAGTATTTCTAC